CCTTAAGAAAATCAATTCTGAATAGGCTGTAGCTTTTTGATTTGTCCTGCTTCTTGGCTAACATAAGACATACGGTCTTAGCCCCTGTGTCTTTGAATCTGTGGCTCGGTGTGGGTTAAATTATCAGAGGTCACGGGTCTTGTTTCTCAGTTCTAATAGCTGTAGCTGTCTGGCTTTGAACTTTTCTTTGTGGCTTCATTCCTGCCCTGTTTACTGGCTGACTCCATGACAGATCTGCTTACATCCCAGGTGCTAGGTTTCTGTCTTTTTAACTGTGTCTTATGTGTGCAGGCTCGTGAGGCAGTAGAGATGCGTGCCCAGGTGGAGAGGAAGATGGCTCAGAAAGAAAAGGAGAAACATGAGGAAAAGCTCAGAGAAATGGCTCAGAAAGCCAGGGAGAGAAGAGCAGGGATCAAAACCCATGTTGAAAAAGGTACGTTTCTTTGTTACTAGATGCTGTGAGTATTTTTAGCACTCTGCAGTGTGGGTTTGGAGAAATAACCTGAGAACTTAGAAATTACAGTTGACATTTAGGTATTCTAAGCATGATGTGTTCTTCATGTCTTTACTTGATCAGCCAATGAATTTGGTTAAATCACTGACTGGTGTGATGGAATCTGGATTTGAGCCTCGAAGCAGTATGTCAGTGTATACAGGTTGGGGACATTGTTGAGAATTTCAGAGTTGTAAATGGATCAGTACAAGTAATGGCTTTTGTGGACTGTTCTAAAGTAATTTTTTTTTTTTTTCCTTTAGAAAAGGCTTGTTGCCTTACTTACATGAACTAAACCATCTTTAAGTTTTCAGAGATGGTTAATGCGGTATTCTCTCTCTTGCACTGTTACAACTGGTCTTGCAGAACATAGTTCTGTTGGCTAATAGGCCCAAAATCTGCTAACTAAATTATAACCATTGTGGTAAGTCTTATGTTTTAATTGAAATGACAAATGACACTTCAAAGATCAAGATGCTGAATGTAGAGTAGTTATGATTTCTTGAAGAGGTGGAGGATATGGTCATATAATGCCAAACCCTGCATCTGGGTTGGACTAACCTCTTCCCAGCAGGCTGGGGACTGGCTGGCTGGAGGGCCACTCTGTTGAAAAGGACCTGGGAGTCCTTGTGGACAGTATACTAAATGTAAGCCTGCAGTGTGCGCTGGCCCCAATAATGCTCAGGGCATACTGAGCTGCATCTGCAGGAGTGTAACCAGTAGGTCAAGGGAAGTAATTTGTTTCCTTTTACTGGTGATCTGTTAGACTGCATCTAGAACACTGTGTGCAGTTATGGGGCTCCAGGCACAAGACAGTCATAGATAAACAGTAGTGAGTTCATTGGAGGGCCATCAAAATGGTCAGGGGGCTAGAGTACCTAGTCAGGAGATGCTGAGAGATTGAGTTCTGCCAGGAGAAGATGTGGCTTTGGGGAGCTTTCCCGTATTTACAAGGAGAGAGACCATCCGAGCTCTTCACTAAGCTGCACAGTGGTAGAATGAGACAATGGTCAAAAGTTGAAGCAGGAGTTTTCCAACTACACTTGAGGATAAAAATTTTCACCATGAGGACAAACAGCAGTGGAACAGATTGCCCAGGGAGGCTGGCAATCTATCCTTGGAGCTTTTCCCCACCTGAGTGGGCAAAGCCCTGAGGAACTTGGTTTGAAATCAGCATTGACCCTGCTTTCAGCAGGAGGTTGAACTAGAGACTCCCTTCTAATCAGAGTGATTCTCTGATACTGAGTCACAGAATGTTCTTCAAAGCACTTAGATACCTGCATGCTTGAAAGATATTTTTATGCTTAAGAGATGAAAGTATGATCTGTAGGTGTTTTAGGATATTAATTCCTAAATGGACAAGCATTCTAAACTCTTGAAAGCTGAGGAAACATAGTTGTTGGATATGTCTGCTTTAACTATCTTGTCAATGACAGTTAATTGCTTGTGGCATAAGAAGGCTGTGGTTTTCGTGTTCAGTTTGTTTAAAGTGTAACATTTTAAGTAGTGCTAAGGGTCACTTCTCTTCTGTAAAAGAATACTGAATTGACTCACTGTGCATGTGTCAGTGGCATAGTTAATTCAAACTTCAAATATTTGTCTATGATGAGCAATTTTCCATTTGTTCAGAGGATGGAGAAGCTAGAGAGAGAGATGAAATCAGACATGACCGACGCAAAGAGAGACAGCATGACAGAAATCTTTCCAGGGCAGCCCCTGACAAAAGGTGAGTCCCAAAAGAAAGCTGCTTTATTCCTGTGCTGGCACTGGCTTTCCCTCTAGGGAAACTATTACCCTGGGCGTCCTTTTGCTTGATGCAAGTGCCTGAATCTCACCTCGTGGAGATACTCGCTACTATGAAGCACTGTTCATTCATTGTATGAGATGGTATTGTTAGTGTACTGCAGTACTCTCTTCTAAATTTAGAGTTTTCCAGAGGAATGGAGGAGATGGGGGTTGTTGGTTCTGGGTGGCTTTTTCTTTAGCAGAACTTCAGTATACTCTGATTTAATGAACATGTTGACAGCAAAGGTTGAAACCTGGATCCTGTAACTACCAGGGTATCATTAGTGACTTTGTTTCTTGAAGCTGTTATTTGAAGTAAGCTTAGGTTTATGAGTTTAGGCTAACGTATCTTGTTTGCCCAAGCCAGTGAGATTTCTGAGCACAAGTGGTTTCTGGAGGCTTAAAATCTCCAATATCTTAAAATTAGATTGTTTGCCCTTCCTGGAATATAATTACACTGGTTCTTGCAAAAAAAAAAATAAATATGACATTTTAGACCAAGTCAGTTTGATGTAAATTGCAGATAGTGGAAAGCAAATTTAAATGTCACGCCCAGCTGGACATAACTTTGCCAAATATTTCCTTTGCCAGGAGACAAATTTTAAATGTTAGCTAGTAAGGAAGGGCAACAGTCAAAATCTGGCTCCTGAGGCAAATTGTTAGCTACTATTACAGGATCAGGTTGCAGTTGAGCATATCAACAAATATGGTTTCCTGACTTAATAAAACTTAAAATTTTTAATTCAGGTCAAAGCTGCAGAGAAATGAGAACAGAGATATCAGTGAAGTTATTGCCCTAGGGGTACCCAACCCCAGGCCATCCAATGAAATCCAATACGACCAGAGGCTGTTCAACCAGAGCAAGGTAAAAATACCTTTTCACAGCTGTGTAGCTTTCTATGAGAACATGCTCATCCTTCCTTAGTGGGTGTGGCTAGAATACTAAAGCGACCCTGTTCTCATGGTTGGGGTGGATACACTGAAAGAAGCCTCTACATAACTGGTTAGGAAACTGTTGCTCTCCTTTTTTGTTGCATCAGTTATGGATAATGGAATATTCGAAATGTATAAATGGATTAAAGTGTTTTTGTTGTGGTTTTTCTCACTGGGGAGTGGGGAGAAAGAAGCTATTTTGCCTTCAAGATGCAATGACCTAATTTTCCTCTTTTGTACGAATGTACTAACTGAATAAGGAAAATATGCTCTGAGAGAGAAACAAGTAAATACTTTATATTCCCATTATTGCTTATGTTAAAAGCCCTTCTGAAGATATAAATAGTTAACAGCAACATTAATTTTCCCTGAACTTCATACTATTCAGAGATGAAAATGTAGATCAAGCTTCAGAAAGTCCCTGAATAGACCTGCAGTTTATCAATCGTTCTTTTTCATGTCTCCAATGAAAGACATGCGGGCAGAAGGGAAAGCTGATGAATCAAAAGTGAACAAGCAGGCACTTCTACTTCCACAGTTTACATAAGCCTCTGCGTAATTTGGATCAGTCAGCTTAAATCATGTTTTCCAGAAATTCTGAATACACGCTTCTATGTGGTTGTACTTGGCTATTATAGACAGCTGTACTTGCAGGGCAGACTGAAATGATCCATTCTTCTGAAATATGGGAGAGTAGAAGTGGCCCTGATGAGGCTTGTAAAGATTGTGTCATGTTCTCTGGACTTAATCCCAGACCCAAAACCACTGATATCCTTATGAAGTGCTTGAACTCATTTGAAATCACTATTAAATTACAGAGTATCATCTTCATGTATCTGCATGACATCATCGGTGTATTTTGCTTCACAGGGTATGGACAGTGGCTTTGCTGGAGGAGAAGATGAAATTTATAATGTTTATGACCAGCCTTGGAGAAGTGGCAAGGATATGGCCCAAAATATCTACAGGCCAAGTAAAAATGTGGATAAGGACATGTATGGTGATGATCTAGAGGCTCGAATAAAAACCAATAGGTAAGAAAATGAAGTTAAGAAATTCTTAAATAGTACTCTGAAGTCACAATAAACTGAGTGTCACACATCTCCTCCAGGTTTGTTCCTGACAAAGAGTTTTCTAACTCTGACCGTAACACCAGAGGGAGGGGCAGAGATGGACCCGTTCAATTTGAGGAGGATCCCTTTGGTTTGGACAAGTTTCTGGAAGAAGCTAAGCAACACGGTGGTTCTAAACGGCCATCGGATAGCAGCCGCCCTAAAGAACACGAGCATGAGAGCAAAAAGAGGAGGAAGGACTGAATGCCTCGCCACCTTGAGAGGTAGAAAAATGGACTACAAGCTTGGACTTCCTGCAAAAGGCATTTTTAATATCAGAGGTGTCTAGGGGGATGGCGTAACGCAGCAGTTCACAACTCTTGTGTGGATATATATACACATCCTAACTCTTCTATATAGGACAACCCCCCCTCGAGAGTGGAGGAATGGAGACCACTTTGAAACATTTCGTAAGGGAATTATTCTTTAGCAAGTGCTCCCTGTTGCCCAGCATCTCAGGATAAGAATGTAGCCCATTCCTACAGCTTTTGTTTTTGTAGGTAGCTAAAGCTTTTACTTCATCTGTTAAAAGCTTTCCTGCTGTATATAATTACTGTCTTATGCTGTAATGGATGCTAGGGAGTTTATGATTCAGTGTTTCTTTAGTGTGGCTATACAGTTTATTCGAACAGGGTGGGGAAACAGCTGGATTCTGTTTTAAAACAAATACTCATTCATAGTTTCTCAGTAATCTTTATTTTAGTTTCCTTACATTTAGTGAAATAAAGCCTCCTTCCACCGCTCATTCTCTTCCTTTCTTTCTTTGACTGCGTCTTCTATAGGACTGTTGTTTGAGAGTGAGCTGAAAACAATGGAAATCATTCAAATTAGTTAGGCAAGAAGGTCTGATATTTTTCATCTTCTAGAACATTCATAGGGAAAGCAGAAGATGGGTTTATAACAGGTTCAGTTTCATCAGCCATAACCACCAATGCTAAGCTCCTGACAGTAAAGTTGAATATAATTTGCACAGCAATTGGAAGTTGTATCAGCAAAATGTATCTTAAAAGCTTGTGCTTTCAAGTGAAACTAATAGAAGGTAACTGTCTAAACCTAGCCTAGAACAAAGTGGGAGAAGTGCTTATGTGTTTTGCTTCAAGAAAAAATTGCATTTTTAAAGCAATGAAGAGAGCGAACCACTGCCTCCCTTCTGCTTTTTATTTCATATAAAGAAGCCTCTTAGCTCTTCCACCTCTTGTGAGTATAGCCCTCTAAGCCTAGGCAGGTAAGTAGAGGTTGCTATCTTACAGCTTCAACAATAAAAAGCAGCAAAACATTTTCTAAGAGATTGACACTAAACATTCATCTATGCTATTCCTAGTACTTATTTTGATAATTGCATATAGATAACATCCTCGTTATTTTCAGCCCAATTGATGAGCCTGGCTTGTCAGAGTGCGCTGACTTCAGTCTTGAACTGTTCAGTTTCTGCTTTCATTTTTGTACCACAGCTGTAACTCAGGTCAGCTCTTCTTAGGAACAGGCATTGAAGCAATCACAACCAAGGAAGACTTCTGCAGTAATATGAACCATGTCAAGCAAAATACTTCATGATCAACATATCACATCGCAGAAGTCTCCTGCCACTTCATTTTACTCCTACCATATCCTAGCATTGAAAGTCTCAAAACAAGAAACTAATTAGAACACTAGTGGAGATCATTAGTAGAGTGACACTGAGCAACAAGCAGGCCGGTATGAGAAGCCAGGTCAGCTGAAGCACAGGGACATCTCTCAGAAAATGCCCTTAGTAATTTGCCCTTACTAAGTGAACATACTAGATGCAAGTTTCTAATGATTTTGATGTAAGACCTGTTAATTTATTAATGGCTGTGGGCAGCCATTGACTCACTGTCCTCTTATCCTTATCTCTCAACACAACTGCATACTAAATGTTTGGAAAGCAGGGGCATGGCCAGTTCTTTGCTCTCTTTATTTGCTGCAGTGAAGCTAGACCATACAGTTGTCTGGCTCTGACTAGTCAATGACAGATACTTTTGTATGGGTACTCGACCAAAGGTTTTTAACTGATCCTGTACACTGTCTCTTAATACCATAGACTAATGCACCGAGATTGCCAAAGTGTCATTTTTTTTTCTTTTACTGACATTTAAAATGTTAGGAGACAGCAAGTAAAATAAGAGCTACACTAAAGCTAATTTAAATTTATCTTGAAACATGAAAGCAGGCAGCTGACTTTTCCTGTACAAAAGGATAGCTGAAGGAAAAAAGACATTTTCACTAAAATTCAAAGCTTAGCTTTACATTTTTTGTTATCTTCTACCTGCTACCCAGCATCCAGAATAGACACTGGAATACAGCTGCCGAAAATTGTATTACAAATAATAACTAGTTGCATGGTAGTCCCTGAACAGTTTTACTGCATTCATATTCCTTTAGCTTAGCAGAGCAGGAGGTCTTGATCTCTGGTATGCGATCACTGTGGTATCTATATGATCTTGGACCCTAATGAGTCAAGTTGAAAGGGGAATAAACAAAAGTGTTACTGATTTTAAAAAACATTAAAAGCACAATAAATGGCAAAATGCTTAATACTTGGAACAAGTATGGCAATATTTTTATGTTACTGTGTCTAACCAAAGGCAGAATTAAAGAGCAACTTATTACATCATTAAAGGAATTGCCACATTACCTTGGCACCTTCAAGTACGTGGGAGTCCTTCTGAAAGACATTCTGGACATCTTCTGGAGTTGAGAATTTAATCCAGCAGTAACGTTTGTGAAAGCCTGTATCTCTGTCCTAGTTACGAATTTAAAAAAATCCAATTACTGTAGAAAATACTCACATAGGTTGTTAAAAACTTTCTACAGATAATTTAAGGATTCAGAAATCATCAGAGAAATCACTGCACTTGCTGTTTCAGGAGTCTTCTTCACATTCTAAGACAATTTACTTTAATTGAAAGAATGCAGGGGCCTAGCAGAGGCTTTTCTGCATCCCCTTCTCCCAGTGTGAGTCCAGCAATCATAAATAAAGTTTAAGATTTTAAGTTATAGTTGAAGACTGGAATAACGCAGAGCCAGTTGTTTCAAACTGCACTAGTTATCTACTGTTAAGCCAGTCACAACAGAACTGACATTCAACTATCTACCTAATTTGAAAATAAGCCTGCTGCAGTACTTGAAAAGCATTCAGCAAGATAAAGCAGCTGCCTAAGATACTAAGAAAGTAGGCTGCAATTCAAGATGACAACCCCTAACTGCACTGAGAAGTTATTTCTAATAATAATTTGCCAGTTGGAAAAGACAGTTGTCAATGAAGAAGAGATAATGCAGAAAAGCCAGGTTTACTAAAGTGCCTTTTATCCCAACTCTTGCCCCCATCAGAGTTCACAACAGCTCTGCCACTCTGATCATCAGGCATGACTGGCAGCCTTTCCAAACACTGGTGAAGTTTTCACCCACAGAGTACTATAGTCACACTGCCTGGTTTCAGTATTGCAGTGATGCCTTAATTAGGGTGTCTTATGCTGCTGGCAGATTTTTGTACCTCTGGCAGTTTTAAGCATTAATGAATACGCCTAAAGTAATCACTGAATCAAAACACACACACACATGCATCAGTTCAGCTTTAATCAGAGATGGAGGCAGGTTTACAGCAAGCTGCCAGCCTTCGCAGCAAAGTAACACCTCCTGTCCTGGCCCTGAGGAACACAGTGTGGCAGGCAGACACCTAAGCTCCAACCTTCAGAAATAGCCAGATTGTTTCAAACTATCTTTCTCCATTTCCAAGCCAGTCCTCAACTGATAGTGAACCCATCAGCTCACAAACTTCATTTTACTACACACTGAGCTTAACTTAACAGACCATTACTTCACATGGCGAAATATGAGCTGGCAGGAGAACCTCAACTCCTTTGGCAATGACCTGCAACTTACCCGTAACAGAGTGGGAAAGGAACACCTTTTTTTGACTGTTCATCTCTAGGAATCTGGACTTACTCCTGATCTACATGCTCAGAAAATAAATAACCTAAATGGCTGAGGCACAAGCAGCTGACAGCTTGGGAGATACCTGAAGGGGTTGTGGGTTTTGTGTTAGCCCCACATTCAGGATGGGGTATGAACCCCGAGCAGGAAAGGATTGTAGGTTCATACCCTCACCTTTATAAGTTTTAAGCCTGGGAGACCAGGCACATAAACACTTTATTCTTTGTCAGAAGACAGATAACACAACGATAGAGAAGCTCAAAGCATTTTCAGGTTAATTATTCAGAAATGGCAATATCAACAGGATCGGAGATGTGCTTTCTAAAGCTCTTTCAAAACCAGTGTACACCACTAAGCTTCAATGAGGCCTACAGCTCGCAGACAAGCAGCGGCAACCACTGGGAGAAGAAACAGCGGGTGAAGAGCAGCAAAAATCTGAGTAGAGCACAAGAGGCTTCGAGGGAGCTGGGGAGCCGGGGGCCGGGCAGGGCCCCAGCAGCAGGGCCAGCCCTGCCGGGGCCTGGCGAGTACCTGCCACCAGCTCTTCCCCCTTTTACCAGGAAGACGCGGACAGGGACCTGAAGAATGAGCGGGTACTCACAAACGGCAGCTGGCACCTCTGCACCGACCCGAACTGGGAGAAGTACTCCTTCAGCTCCTCTGCGGGGGAAGAGCACACATGGTTATACGGGACCAGCCCCCACGGCCTGTGCCGCCTCCCACGCCAGCCTTAGCACCGGTGGAGGAGGAGGGGAGCGGCGCACACTCACTAGTCGATACCGTCCAGGGAACATCAGCCACGAAGATTTCGAAGAACCTCCCGGAACGGCGCGCCACCGCCCCCACCGCGCTGCTCGCCGCCATCTTGGGAGCTGCAACGGGCGGGCGGGCGCGCGCGGCGCGGCCCCGCCCCGCCCCGTCCCGGCAGTGCGCCGCACCGCCCTGCGCCGCCGGCCCAAAATGGCGGCGGCGGCCCTCACCCGGGAGGGCGGGGAGGACGCCTTCCGCCGGCTGTTTCGCTTCTACCGGCAACGCGACGCGTTGGACTTGCGGAGCGTGGTGGATTTCACTGTGCCGGGGGGCCAGGTAACTCCGGGCTTCTCCCGCCCTCGCCTCGCGGTCCGAGCGCGGTGCTGCTGCTGCAGCCTGGTCTAGTCACCTGCTGCTTCCCTGCGCGCTCGACGCCAGATTTCTGATGCTGTCCCGTTGCAGGCTAGAAGACGCTGCCCTCCAGTGCCGGGCCTCTTACGGATCGTAATAACGTTTAAAAACTGGTTGCGTGATTAGAGACGAGCAGCTGCGGGAGCCCGGGGCCGCTCTGCCCGCGGGGCCCAGGGGCGGGCTCGCCCGGGGCCCCCCTGGGCTGGCAGCGGGGGCGCTGAGGGACCCTGCCCGAGGGCCCAAGCTGCCGTCCCAGCCCCGCTTGGCCAGCACACCGCCTACTCCCAGATTTACCACTTTTCCTTAGATATGCTCTCACTGTGTTTAATTAGCTCTCTACCTTGCCGTAAGGGATCTCCAGAGGCTTTAATAGAACCACGTGTTATTCAAGAGAAGTAAAGGAACGCGTGGATGGAAAAAAGCAAGTTTCACTATTGGAGCTGACACTGTTTCCTGGGCTTACTGGTCCTTGGTAAAGTTTCTTCTCCTTTCTTGCTCCCATATAATAAACATTTGATTTAGGCATTAGGTCAAGTCCAGCTGTTACGGTAGATTAGGGGCACACAGTCAGGAGCACATCTGAAAGTAGCAGCCTTCAGGGTTAGTCATTTACTGATTCTTGAGTGATGGAGAAGTGATCCTTTAAACTCATCTTCTGCTTTGTCACCTCGCGAAAGGATAATGGATATCTGCTGAAGTGTTAACTAGGGATTTCCTGCGTATAAGCCTATATGAAAATAAGGAATATAGGTGAACTTTGCCTAATTTTTCATAGTTCAAATGCTTAGGCTTTTATTTTTACTGTTCTATTAGAATATATATTTTTCTATCTTTTCAGACTGCAACTTTGATATTGTTAACAGGACACAAAACCCAGACCCATATGAAATTGTTCAAGGTGTTAGCATTAAACAAGCAAGTTGTTAACCTTTCAGCTTTTCTTGAGCTTGCAGCAATCCTCTACCAAATAAAGGATTCCAGCCCTTCTGGGGAATTCAGAGTACTTGAAAGCATCACAAACATCTGTCTCCTCTCCATATCATTCTTTTTGTGCCTGTTACCTTCTAAGATCAGTTGAGAGCTTACTAGTGAAAGCATCTTTTATTCGTCTTTCCCCCAGGTTAAAAACATCTGGCTTTTCTTTTTAAGAAGAGCTACATGCTAGCCAGATTGGCCCAGATACTATTGTTCCTTTTCTCTCAGAAAACTGCTTCAAGTGATTGAGCTCTTCAGTGAAGTGTGACATACCCAGCTGCCCTGCTCCCAGGCTTATTTAACTGATTCAGCACATGTAATTCTTCAGCATAGGAACAGCTCCTGTTCTTCAGAAGCTCTGGCAGCAGCTGATGCGTAAGCAGTTTGAGAAGGCAGAGAGGTGGCAGAGTCCTAGTCAAAGGAAGAGCCTTCCTGGGGACATTCTGCAGACAGGACTCTCAGCTAAGCTCTTCAAGTCTGGCAGTCACAAAGCTGCTTTTGGCAGAGAGGTGGAAAATTGGTAAATCTGAGCACGTTGCCAGAAACTGCTGCCCAGCACTAATTTAGAGTTTTCTTACACATTCTATGTACATAATTTAGACCTGTTGCATAAAAGACATGAACCAGAGCTGTCAGCCTGCAGAGAGAATGATTTACACATTCATCACTGCAGAGTGCATGCAAAGGCCTTAATTTCATGTACGTCTTAAATTGTCATAAACAAAGTCTTGCCTGTCTCTGCCTGCTTATTCCCATTATGCCTGGCCAGATCTTTCCTTATACGAGCCTGTACTTTTGCACATCCATGTGGAGAACTGGACTGGGGAACTAAGTCAGAACAAAACCAACCTGCCTCTATCCTGCCCTCCTCCAAGACAGTCCTAAGGGAGGAAGAGAGTGGGAACACCGTGTATGAGTATGTTCTTTTCAGCAAGTGTTGCTTTATTACAGCTTAAATACATGTGTTACTGCAAACCAAGAGAGTACGACTATGTCCAGAAAATATATCTTGGTAAACCTTGAGTTGTTGACCCTGCTGTTGGAAACAGAAGTGGCAATGTGGTATTTAAAATTTACAATGTTTCTGCAATTCTTCACATCAAACAACTTTGGCCACTTAATCACTGTACTACTGTAAATTACAGATGAGAATAGTCACCTACCTTATGGGATCATGAGCAACTTGTACTTGGAATGTTATCTGAAGGTATAAACTGTTATGGGTACTAAATACTGCTCTCTAATGGAGATTGATAATTACCAGAATGTTTTAGAATGATGAGGCTGTACAGTGAAAATGGAAAAATGGTGCCAAATTTTTTCTCACTCCTATAAATGGTTTGGGTTTTTTTAATGAATGGAGGACATCTCTCCTGATCCCTGAGTGTTGTAAAAACTGTAGGTACCTTTTGATTCTTATGTTGAGTACATACTAGCTCTGCTAGCAGCAGGCTCTGTTCTGGTCACAGTGGCTTAGACAATAGTTGTGTGGCACAGCTGGCATTTTCACAAGGCTTACCTTGGAATATGGTAGCACTCTTTCGTATAGGCGCTATTTTTGGACGCCTTTTGTATTTCTTCCTCTTTTTTTAACCAGATCTGGTTTTTTTTGCAAGGTGTTCAGATCCCAGCTCAGTATTTCTTCAGTCAGTGATCAAGATGCCTACAGAGCAGGATTACAGCCCGTTAGCCAGTGGAAGGCCTATGGCCTCAATGGGTATCCAGGTAGGTACTTCTGATTTCAAGAAAAATTAAACACAACCTTGTTGCTTTGGGATCAGGCATCTTCCATCTTATCTTCCTTGCCCTGCCTGAAAAACCCATTTTGGTTTGTTTAAGTGTAATTTAATGTTATTTTAAGTGCAGGAGGACAAACAAGTCATCTAAAGGGTGGGATGTGACAGTATATATGATCATATGAAGGTGAAAACAGAAGGGCCAGTTGTTTCACAGTCTCTGATCAACCATCCCTCATGAGAATGGATTCCTGTTGCCTTTGATAGAGATTTTATATTTCTGTAGCATCTATTTTTCCTGAACATATATCATGAAAATTAGATAAGTGTCTGAAATACAGTCATTTCAGGGCTGAAGTGTGGCATCTACTTGCTGGTGTGGAACACTGAGTACAATAAGTGAGTAAGAACCACTTGTCCTATACAAGGTACAGAGTAATTTTATTAAGCAGGTTATTTCAAAAACTGAAATGGATCTTAGGTTTGCAGGTCACCTGATAGAATCACAGAAAGATGTTAGGTTGGAAGAGACCTCCAGAGATCTAGTCCAACTCCCTGCTCTAAACCAGGGTCAAGTTGATAGTTAAATCAGGTTGCTCAGAGCTTTGCATGGGTGAGTTTTGGAAATCTCCAAGGATGGAGATTACGCATCATCTCTGGGCATCTGTTCCAGTGTTTGCCCGCTCTTGTGATTTTTTTTTTCCTTCACCTTATATCAAACCAAAATTTGCCTTGCTGTAATATGTGACTGTTGATGCTCATAATCTTGCAGTACATCTCTAAGAAGAATCTGGCTTCACCTTCTCTGTAATGGCCCTTTAAGTAGCTCTTACTAATATAGGCTGATGTGTAATCTGCCTTTATTTTTGTGAGGGTGCACTACTGACTCGCGCTCACTTTGTCCCCCAAGACTCCCTGGTCCTTTGATTTATAGCTGATCACTGATCCTCAGGCCATACTGTTGCACAGGCTTATTCTGCCCCGGCTGCAGGATTATCACTGTTGAATTTCCCGAGGTTCTTGCTGGCCCATTCCTTCAGTTTGTCAGGGTTCCTTTCAGTGGCAGCAGTAGCCTCCAGCATATCCACTGCTGCCCCAATTTAGTGTTATCTGTAAGTGTGATGAGGATGAATGTTCCATTGTCCACATTGTTGATGTAGATGTAGTTATCAGTCTTGGCCCCAGTATCAACCCCAGGAACGCACCTTGTAACAGCCGCTGGTTAGACTTTGAACCATCAAATCACTATTCTTTAAGCCTGGTGGCCCAGCCAGCTTTTGCTCACCCTTTTAGCTTACCCATAAAATCCATGAGCCCCCAGTTTGGCTACAGCGAGGCTGCAGGAGACCAACTGCAAAACTTTGCTAAAGCCAAGGTAAACGGCATCCCCCTCTGTCCCCTTGTTTGGGCATCTCCCTGTAACTGGCAGTAAGGCTGGTTTGACAAAATTTGCCTTCAGGCTGTTCCCAACCAGTTTGTGTCTAGAAATGGCTGTCGTGAAAGTCTGCTCCATAATCTTAGCAGGGGTTTTGGTAAGGCTAATCAGTTTGCAGTTCCCCCGATCTTCCTTATTTCAGGGATATTTGTTTGAGTTTGGTTTTTCTCATGTTTCTTTTGGGTCTTTGGGACTACAGTTAGTGTCTCTGTGGGTTGCTATGAAGCCAGCCTACCATTTCTGAAACTGAGGCAGCTACATTAGTCACCTGGCATGGTTAATACACAGGGATTTGAATAACCTCAGGAGAACAGCTTCCACTTCTTCTTGACTATACATTTTTTTATTCTGCTTACCTGTCATATTATAGCTGCCCTTGCTTGGTCTCACTTGTCATTTTATGTCTGTCTAAACATCTTTCCTAGCAATTATATGCGTGGGGATCACAAGTGTTCCACTTAACTGCATTTTTCTTCTGCTCTGACAAAGAAAACCTTTCACTAAAATTAAACGCAAACACATTAACAAATTCTCAGTGTTGTTCAGAATTGTCACGTGTGGGCAAGAATAATATTTTATTATTTTCCTGCTACTTTCATCTGGACATCC